TCCTCCTGCTCATCCTCTGGCTTTTGCTGAGGACTACTCTGCAGTAGATCCTGACAACAGCATATTCATTTGGCTAAGTATTTTTCTGTTTGTACTGGTGGTGTTTTCATTAAATCTGTTGTACTTTTACCTATGGGTCTTCTCTCCTTTTTCCAGATTCGCCTCCCTGGCCGTTGAGGGTCCACTGGGTGATAGACCAACTGTTACAGTTTAGCCCTGGGTGCAGCCTAAACGTAGACAACCAGTAAATGCACTTGGGTTCAATTTGATAACGCTTCTTATTTGTATAAAAACTTATCTGTAATGTTGCACTGACAATATTTTTCCCGGTAATTATGAACTTGTGAGTGGCACAGTGAGTTACGCAATTTCTAAGAAAACTGTGGGCTTTAGTTCTGTTCTCTGAAAATGTTGAGTGGACTGGCTTTGGTACATCAGCCCAGTACTTCTCATGTGAGTACACAGCTAAAATTTGAGTATCTGAGCTAATGAAATAGTAGATAGGCTAAAACATGTGGTGGAGAGTTTTCCACAGGACAAATGTCACTATTTCTTATTAAAACTTATTCCTGCACCTAAGATGTATATTATGCTGTCTGACCATTACTTGTCACCTTCTAGTTTTTATCAGGTAGGGTTTGTAAGTACCGGAAAGCTGTGTACTCTTTAAAATACTGACCTGTTTTTAAAAGAAAACTGTCAGAACAGAGTATTTACTTTCAACTGAATTGCTGAAAATAAATATAGAAACTGAAGCATTTAGCTACAACTGAACTGCTTCAGCAACTTTTAAAATAAAATAGAGATATTTGTGTTTTCTGCTGTGGATATGATGAGAACAACAGGACTCCAAACTCTGTAACGCTTAAGTGCAGTTTGGAATAAGAGACTGACTACTGAGTTCACAGTTTTCTAACAAATGTGTCAGAATTGTGACTTTATAGAAATAAGCTTTTCTCAGTTACTTTCTCACTTTTTTATATTTCACAATGGAATTAAGAACAGACATTGCAGCTATGGTTTATTTGAGATCTTCCAGTTTTCTGTAGCCTTTCGCTACTCAGTTCAGTTAAAGGTGTATCAAAATTGTATTTGAAACAGTTACTTTTACTGTTACTGCAATAAGCTTTTCCTTCCTTTTGGACAAAATAGGAAATAGGACCACATGTCTTTTGTGTTCTCACTTTTCTGCATGTACATGAGTGTTGCTGTAGAAGTAGTATGTTATTGATGCTACATGAGGCTGCCACTCTTACTACAAAACAAAGTCCCTGTATAGGTAAATCCTAAGGTACTGTATAGTTTCAGTGCCTCTTGGATGGGTTTGCAGGATTGTATTACATCTGGCGCTAAATGTCATAAGTTTCAGGAGGAACTTCATTTACATTTTGGATGAATAGTAAGGAACCCTTCCCCCTCACTCTTGCAGTTGGTAGATAATAGTTCTAGTATCTGAAGCTGTGCATACCAGGGAGTAAAATTCTGCCTGAACTACAAAGAGATCTCACATCTGCTTGCCACAGCATGTTTTTGAAATCTTTTGTGTAATAGCAACTGTTTTTAAAGCATATTTTATTCAGGAAAAAATACAGTAGATCATAAAATGAGAAGGGCGGGCTTGTTTCTAATGTGTGTGAGAACATTCAATCTCACGAATGTTGATGTTAATCCAGGAAAAATTTATTAATTTAAAATTTTAAATTTTAGTTCTTCTCAGAAAGGTATGGATAAGAAAATGGATGAAGAGCAGCCTTTGACTGCATGTAGCCAGTACCCTAAAGAAGCGGTGAGGAAACGTCAGAATTCGGGTCGAGGTTCCAGGGGCAGTGATTCTTCCAGGACCTCCAGGAAAAGCTTCAGGCTGGACTACAGATTGGAAGAGGATGTAACTAAATCAAAGAGAGGCAAAGATGGGAAATTTGTTAACCCGTGGCCAACATGGAAATCACCAACCTTGCCAAATATTTTGAAATGGTCCCTCATGGAGAAAAATAACAGCAATGTGCCATGCTCAAAGCAGGTAAATACTTGCATGTTTTCTGTTCTTGGTTTACGCTGATTTTACCTCTGCTCTAATCAGTAAAATAGGACAGTTTAAATACTTACTAGGCGTCTTTTGGAGACTTTTCCAAGTCCGTTTTTCTGATTTTATTATTGCTTTATTCTTTTCAAAAGGTGGGTTAATACTTTCTGCCTCTTTAATTTTTTTCCTCCTTTCTGTTAGTTCCACACTCTTTGATTTATACAGCTCAGTTTATATTTACAAAACCAACAAAAATGCCCCGCAGCTCAGTCATAAACTACGGTTTTTTCTTTCCTTTTTAATAGTCTTGCCTTATGAAGCATACTACTAACATCATTTGCGTTGCATGAAATAGCTGTGGCATATCTCATTTTAAGTTTTGCCTTTTTTTTTTTCTCTAGATTGCTATTTACTACATATGTTCCATCTTTTTCATAAAAACGTAATAAATAGTTGTTGTCATTTACTTATGAAAGTGTTTGCAAATCTATGCTGTTCTGTTTCAGTACACCAGGAGAAAAAATTACACATGTTAAAACTAATGTGTGCAAGTATTTGTACTGAAATGCTGAAGGTTCTAGTGCGAGTTTACTGGGAAACACCGTTATTTGTTCTTGGTTTATTGCTTCTGTCAGATAAAGGAGGTGGGAGAAGCAACCTCTGAGAGAAGCTTCTTTGCCATGAAGAGTAATGGATATTGGAAAGTCACGTGTTATCTTTGTGGCCACAGGAAGTGTTACGATGGCTGCAGTTTTGACAGTTGGGATTACTTCTCAGTGTATTTTCTAATGTGTTGACTGCACTTCAGAGAAGCTGTGCTGAAGGGTGCACAACCAGGGAAAGCATTTTTGAACAAATAGGTGGTGTTAATGCTTTTAAGCATCCAAGAAGGCATGTATAAACTGTAAAGCTCACAGTATTTAGCAAAAAGCTGACACTTTTCATTTTTATCTTACATGAATTACCATGAATGAAGGAATTTGGTCAGCTTTATGGACAGGAAAGCTGTGTTACTTACTGCCACGTGATGGTCAGAGGTTTGGGGATTTCTTTAAGGATATGTGACACGGAACATGTTTAAGGGAGAAATAATCTTGGCTGGAATTGTTCTGTAATAATAGTAATTAAACTTCAGAAAGAAGCACAGCAAACCGATGTCAGTCTTGGGATCCCTTCCAACAACTGTCTTTTAAATTTAGCGTTCTGCTTTCAGACGCCATCTGCACCTTGTAGAAGTAGCAGCGGTTGTGCCTCAGTGCGTACAGCTTTCTAGGCAGTGTGCTGTGTTACGGTACTTTGGCCACACTTGTGTAAAATTCACACCTCGGTGTTTTCACTTGCCTTTGACTGCTGCCCTACTCTGTATGTGCACGATAGGCTGTGTATCTTGCCAGCACCAGTCAGAAACCTGGTTAGTGACCGAAGTACCTGGAAGGCAGTGCTAAGGTGTGCTACAGAGTGCAGAATATACAGCGCTCTGATGGCAGTGAAGAACTGCAGTGCTCCCCTTTAATTTACAGATCATCCCTGCAATAAAGGATGATTACAAAGAAATGAACACTGTACCAGTTATAAATCTTTCTGGCCCAGCTGGGATTCATTTTGGACTAATTTTATTGCTTTGTATATGAAATTTTTTAATTAAGTGCTTGCAATTATTCAGGAGCTCGGTGAAGTAGATCAGAAATAGAAAAACCTAGACAGGGATCAATGAAAAGTCCTCAGCCATTTCGATGCTTGTTCCAGCAATGTTTGTTCCACACCTAAATCAACCTGTAAAGCACTTCTGAGCTTGTTTAAAATTCAAACTAAAGGCTCCATACTTTATTTAGCTCTGCTAGATAGCATGTCCTTTGAGCAGACGCCTAAATTCAAACTAAAGGCTCCATACTTTATTTAACTCTGCTAGATAGCATGTCCTTCGAGCAGACGCCCACTTCAGTTTCCACACTGAGTGTGCCTAGTGATACCCTGCCATGCTGGGCAGGTTCACTTTATCTGTACCAAGTGCTTTGCATATGTAAAAAAAGCATATTGTCCAGGATATATACTTCACTGTGTAAAAGCTGTATGTATTATAATCATGCCTTCACAACAAGCCTGTATCATTATCCAGAACACGTAGACTTATTGTATTTTCATTACAGGCTTTATTAATAACTTTTTTCAGTAGTGTTGGCGTATCTTTAATTATTAGTTGTTGGATCAACAATGTAGATTGTCCTCATTTCTGTAAAATCCAGTGGTATTCCAGTATGCACTAAGCGCCAAAAATCCTAAGCTAATTAGCTAGTCTTACCAAAGCCCATCATGTGTTTCCTCTTGCTTTGCATTAGGAAGGAAAGAACAACATGGAAGGGGGGAGGGGAGAAGGGGCACAGCGGGAGGAATTTTTGTATTACTCCAGCGGTGAAGATAAGACAGTATTAGGCACGTTTTGCTTCTGTTGGTAGCTGATTTGACATTAATGCCATATTTCAAAGATGTGTTACACTTCTTGTAGTATTAATATGTTTCTGGTTAGTCTGACAGAGAACAAAGTGTACTATAGCAGGATAAAAGATCTGTAAGGTTGTGTATTTCATTCATTGTGTTGTTCTGTCCTGTTGTGTGAGTTTTAAGAATTTCATGTGAAGTATACTGCCAGTGGAACTGGTGTTTCAGTTTGAAATCTTATATGTTGAGTAGTGAGTCCTTATTGCTTTAAAAAGTAATTCTGGGGATTTTAGCATACTTTTGTAAAATATGAAAAAAAAACCTCAAAACAAAACCAAAACAACCAAGAAAACCCATAAACAACCCCAAACGCAAAACCCATGCACTGAGAAGTAATTTCTTTAGCTGTTTCCCTGTGTGATTTACTGTGATTGCTCAATAAAATGCCTGATTTCAGATCTTATCCTCTTAGGAATCATTGATTTGGATCAAAGGCCTGTGTATCACAAACCCATAGATCCCACATGGAGTCTGTGCTTTCCAAGTTACACTGCCTTTGTGCTCTTGGTTTGCCTTGAGCTTTTGTTCACAGAATTTCATTTAAATAGGTCAGGATACCAGTTGTTCAAACTATGTTACTCTTTTATTTACCAGTCTTCCTATCTGTGTGTCCTTTAGAAATGCTTTTTATAGCGATTAGTTCTACCCTTAAAACACTGTTTGAAATACTTAATAGTGTCAATCCTAGTGACATCCTTGTAAAGCCTTTAATAGTGGAGACGTGTTCTGGTTTTACCCCGATAGGCAGCTAAGCTCCACACAGCCTCTCGCTTATTCCCCCCGCAGGGGAATGAGGGAGAGAATTGGAAGGGCAAAACTGAGAAAATTCATGGATTGAGATAAAGACAGTTTAATAGGTAAAGCAAAAGCTGCACGCACAAGAAGAGCAAAGTAAGAAATTCATTCGCTCTTTCCCATCGGCAGGCAGGAGTTCAGCCATCTCCAGGGGAGCAGGGCTCCATCTCATGTAGTGGTTACTTGGGAAGGCAGATGCCATAGCTCCAAACATCCTCCCTTCCTTCTTCTTCCCCCAGCTTTTACTGCTAAGCACAGTGTGATACGGTATGGAATATCTCTCTGGTGAGCTGGGGTCAGTTGGACCAGCTGGGTCCCCTCCTGGCTTCTCACGCGCCCCCAGCTCTGCTGGCTTGGGTGCTGTGTGAGCACTGTTCAGCAATAGCTAAAACATCAGTCTGTCAAGGCTGTTTTCAGCACAAATCCAAAACAGCCCCATAGGAGCTACTAGGAAGAAAATGAACTATCCCGGCCAAAACTAGTACAATATGTTTGAGTCTCAGTGAAGAACTCCTTGTTCACATCTGCCAATTGGCCAGTTCTCCATCCATTTAGTATCGTTCATTCATATTGCAGGATGCTAATTTTAAAACCTAATTCGTGTCAAATGTTAGCAGAAATAAAGTGGATTAATTTAGAATTCTTGGAATAATTTGTAGTCTGCCTCTAAAACCAGCTACTTAAAAAAGAACATTTTCTATAAAAAATGTACTTACCTAAGTTGCATTCTGACAATTAATTATTAAATTCCATATCAGAATTTGTTTTCTTTGATATAATCTGATTTGTTGACTTGATTTGGTGGGTTGTCCTAATTTCCATTTTTGAGTATTATATTAGTTTTATGGATCTTCCACTTTTTTTTTTTTTCCATTGAAGTGTCACAATATAACACTCTGCGGTTCAGGTTTCTGTTGCCAGTGTCACTCCTGTGTACTTAGAGTGAAATAGCGATAAGAAAGCGATGCTTCTTTCTTGGAGAAGCAGCAGTTTGTCTCAGTCTAATACTCGTACTTAGTTTATTCCTGTATGAATTAAGTGATTGCACTGTACTAACCTTGTGTTCAGCTTCATGGAATGTTACCTATTTCTCATTCCTGGAGACAGTCGTGAAACTTTTTCAGTAGACATGTCTTGTCCATTAGCTCTCAGAAAAAGCAATTTCATGAATATTTTATTACTTACAGAGACTTGCAGGGGGGTGGAGGTGTGTGTGGGTTTTTTTTTTTCCCAGCATATGCTTTCCAAATCAATAAAATATTGTGGAGAAAGTAACTTTCCTGTCAGGAATGTTTTAGCAAGGGAAGTCCTAGACTCCTAAACTGTCACAGCATCAGCTGGACTTTTAAGGGAGCAGGAGGTCAGCTCTATATAAGCTTGCTAATAGTGCTAATCTAATATCCTAGACTGAGAGAGTGAGAGCAGCAACCATGACAAGGAGAACTTGACTAGGAACCAGAAGAGCTGGGACATCTGCGATTACCAGGGAGAGAAGAGTGTCAGGAGTCTGTAGAAGCTGCTTAACAGAGGAGAATTCTTCTCAAGTGGTGCAAGGAGTTCAGACTAGAACTTTTTGGGAGCAGAGCCTTAGCCATGCTGTGGCCGAGCTGGAGATGGTCAGGAGCTCTGAGAAGACTGTTGGTTTTTTTAACGGGAACACTCTTATTTATTACAAATAAAGCTTCTGCATAAGCATCTCAGCCAAACTGCAGTGAAGAACTCTGGTTCAAAATGAGAGAATGGGTGGTGGCTGGATGATGACTTTCAGTAGATAATTTACAGCCATGGCCTCCTTTGTGCCAACTGCAGCACTCTTGAGGCTACACACAGAGTCAGATTTGGAAGCCAGTCGAGCTGAAAGCTGTCTTATTTTCCTTGTCTGGATTAATGTTGAGCCGGATCAATTCTCTGACCTGTGAGACTTGAGTGGGGACTGCATAAGTATTCACGCGGGAACAAGAGGGGAGGTGGGGGAAGGTTTCCATAACTTTGTTAGACAGGAGCATGGACTTAGGTTGATTTGAAGTTGTTCATGGGACTGCATCCTGAATATACAGGGACATCAGTATAGTGATTTATTCAGTAATAATTAAACTTTGATTACCTTGAGGGTTTCAATAAAACATCAAGAGTAGCATAGCTAAGTGCCTTAAGGTCCATCTTTAAAATGAGATCTTGGTTTGTTTGTGTTTTACAAACGTTCATTGAATTATTGGCAGGATGGCAAGACAGAATTGTAAAAGCTAACATTAGCCAAGTGAGGTTAACCTCCGTGTGCTGCTTCTATACATAATAGAGAGAGAGTCTGCTAAAGGCTGATAGAACAGAGCTGCTGTGGAGTGCTGTTTGGAACATGGCATTTTCTTCCATCTCTGAGTTTGTGACTTGTGCTAGGACTTAGGGGGATGCATCGTTTAGTTGCACACACTAAACTTGAGCATTTGTTACAGTAACAGTGTGTATATGTAGTCTTTTCCAGGTCAGGAAAGCCATCCGATTGCAGAGTCTTTCCCAGAACTCTGCAGTGCTTTCACTGCAATGCTTTCAGACTGACTTTCTTTATTAGTAGGTCTCCTGGCCTGATGGGATACTCTCAAGCTCTCTTCTCTCTCCACAGAGAAGTGAAAATGTTACAAAAAGGAGGAAGTAGCTGGGAAAAAGGTCATTAAAAAGGCATCTGTTCTGTGTTGCAGTTCTCTGGTTGCCTGAAAATACAAACAAAATGCAAATCTTGATTGTAATGACTTGTGCCTTGCACGCTGTTTTTGTTCCATGGCCAAGTGCATTCTGAAATCTCACGGCTATTGTGTTCTTTTTTGCTAGGAACTCGATAAAGAGCTGCCAGTGTTAAAACCTTACTTTGTGCAAAAGCCGGAACTTGCTGGAAAGACAGGAACTGGTATGCGGGTCACGTGGTTGGGACATGCCTCAGTTATGGTGGAAATGGATGAACTTATATTTCTTACTGACCCAATCTTCAGCCAGCGAGCTTCCCCTACTCAGCTGATGGGTCCCAAGCGCTTCCGAGGACCTCCATGCACAGTAGAGGAGCTCCCCAAAATAGATGCAGTCGTGATCAGCCACACCCATTACGATCATTTGGACTATGGCACTGTAACGAGTTTAAATGAACGCTTTGGGAGTGAGCTGCGCTGGTTTGTGCCTCTGGGGCTCTTGGACTGGATGCAGAGATGCGGTTGTGAGAATGTGATTGAACTGGATTGGTGGGAAGAGAACTGCGTCCCTGGTCATGACGTGGTCACTTTTGTCTTCACCCCTTCTCAACATTGGTGCAAAAGGACTGCGACAGATGATAACAAGGTTCTTTGGGGCAGCTGGTCTGTCTTGGGACCTTGGAATAGGTTTTTCTTTTCAGGAGATACTGGATACTGTGTTGCCTTTGAACAGATAGGTAAAAGGTTTGGACCTTTTGATCTTGCAGCCATCCCCATTGGAGCTTATGAGCCAAGGTATGAAAATCAAAGTTTGATCAAAGTACATAAATGAAGTCATATACTGATGACAAAAAAAATACACCCAGAAGTGACAACTGTAGGTATACTTCATTCAGTTATATTATTAGTTATAGTTAAAATAAGTTATATTGTAAGTAGAATATAGAGGCAAAAGAAGGAAGTTGCTGGGGCAAAAGGACATTGCTGAATGACAGGAAAAAAAAAAGGCAGGCAATTGGAAGATGGAGCTGCCATGTCTAGGATGCTAGTCTGTCTATGTGTGATGCTCTTGGAGAGTTTTTTCTTCACTCTTAAGCATAGCAAGGATGAATCAGATGACTTTCTTCCATGAAAAATGTTGAGTAAAAAATCTGGAATTACTTCATGGCTCTTTTTCTGAAATGGCATCACTTAATCCAGCCCATTTAGATGCGTGCAATTTGCTGCATTTTTCTCTTGCTTCAGTCTTTATGCTGTTTTTGCAACTTATCTGGAGATAAAGATGACTCCTCTATAGAGTGTGAAAGATCTGCAGCCTACTTATGACGGGGTATCTAGACTTTTAGATGATAATGCTCACATAATGCTGGAAGCAAAGCATGTATAGGCTGGGAAAGGAAGATAAGAATCTGAATAACGTAGTAAAAATGTGGTATCTTTCAGGAATTGCCAGGTTCTCTCTTCTGCTTTACCACTGTTCCCTTAAGCTATCTTCTGAAGCACACACATTTTGGTGTGCACTGCGAGCATGAAATTTTCAGGAATGGATTTAAATCTATGGCCTTAATGCCTCAAGGCACCAGTAGTATGTCCTTATACTATTAAAAATATAGGTAAGAAAAAATGCATTTGAAAAAGGGAGTGAAATACTCACAAACCAGCAGTTCATGTACATTGGTATATTCCAGTGTGTTGATTTTGAGTGTTATGGAGCTTGTGCATCTGAACAACATACAGAATTTTTTTGATTAGATGAGTGTACTTTTTTTTTTTTTTAGATTCTTTGCAACTTAGCAAATGCAAGTAAAGAAGAAATCTCACATGGAATTCAGTGACACAAAAAAATGTACTTTTTTGGTAGGTGGTTTATGAAATACCAGCATGTGGATCCTGAAGAAGCAGTGAGAATCCATATTGATGTTCAAGCAAAGAAGTCTGTAGCAATTCACTGGGGGACCTTTGCTTTAGCAAATGAGGTAAATTTCAACACTATACATGAGTTCAGATTTCCTGAGTACACGGTCATTAATGAAGCCTTGCTCATGTAGTTTAGCCTACGGATCTGTAAACGTGCGCTTAAAATATAAACTTTGTAGGAGTGAGAAGTTGTCTCTGTCTGGTAGTTCAAAAAAACGCCTAGCTTTTTATAACCAATTACATAAAATATTTCTGTGGTTAAGATTAACTTGAAAGTACAGAGTTATTGAAACAAACGTGGAGGACTTTTGATATCTGAAAGCTGAGGAACATGAGAGGTGGGGACAGGTATGGGTAAGAAAAGTAAACTCAGGAGTGCGTCACTTGGAGACAGTGAGAGTTGCATGCCTGTAGGTCCGTAAAGTATTTATTTGTCACGTCTGTCTAGTGAATAAATTGAATAGTATTTTTAATAGTTGATTCAAATACCAGGAAGAACATGAAAAACTGAGTTATTCTGAGTTGCTATTTTTTTTAAAAATTACTTTTTATCCCCTCTCCACGTTCCCAGCTGCAATAAGAAGGTTACCCAGGTAATCTCCCTGACAATGCCTTTTCTGAGATGTAACAAATGCAATGAAGTAACTTCAGGGGGACCTCGTTGAAATGGCACTAGTTTTTAAACAGTAAAGCTGACAACTCTGTTTTACTAAACGAGAGAAAGCGCCACCTGCTGACCCGCTAACAGTTCCTCCTCCCGCCGTATTTCTGCCTCTGAGGGACTGAGTTCAATACATTGAAGACGACAGCATTTTGGATGATGCGTTGTGCCTTGCTAGTCGCTCTACAGCTGTAAATCAGCATTCTTAGAGTTTAAAAACTGAAAATTACACCAAACATTTTAATTTGACAAATATCCTCCCCCTGTTTTGGTAATGTTTAAAACGTAAACCATTTCTTCTTTAGAGCAGTGACGTTCTTTTTTCCCCAAATGCTGCAACAGTTATCTTTTCCCTCATATTATTCTTATTTTTCTAGTATTACTTGGATCCTCCAGTTAAACTGAACGAAGCTCTTGAAAGATACGGCTTGAAAAAAGAAGACTTCTTTGTCTTAAACCATGGAGAATCACGGGACTTGAGTACAAATGATGGGTTTGAATAACAAAACAGTAGCAGTTCCTTGTAAGCCCTATTTGATTTGAACTAGCAATCAATGTCACAAATATTAATATGATGTACTTACAAAGTAGATTTTTTTTTTTGGAGTGAATTGGATTTTTAGATGCCAGGTTTGTCAGTTTCAGAACTAAAACTAACTTACTTACCAATTTCATGATGAATTTTATGAGTTACATTGTTTATAAATTTTGAGAGGTGATCTAAAACCTGGTTAATCTGTAAAGTATTGTCTGGGATTAACTTGGTTTCAACTTGTATGTATACCACTGATAAATTACTGGGTTTTTAAAAAAAAACTCATCTTACCTGCAGCAGCAGCAATAACCTCAGCACAGGACATACTCGGAGAATTAATGGCTGACTTGAAATAGTCATTGTTAGCATGTCATCTCCCACTTGTTAATCATTAATCTTCAGGGTATGCCCTGTACCTTCGCTGTATGGTTTGTGGGCTGGAGTCTTCCACTACAGCTGTGTTGTTAAAGCACAAGCACAGTAAAATAATTATTTTACTGAGTGCTTCTACATTCTCCTATATTGATGAACCACAAAAGCTGAATTTTACAATGATCTAAAGAAACGTGCCTTTTAAAGAGAGAGAGAATTTAACATTGCATCATTGATGTGTAAAACTTACTGCTGGCCAGAGTATCTGCACACTTTGGTTGTTTTGTCAATGTTTTTAAGTTAGGCCTGAACGTGTCGAAAATAACTTTCTTGTCAAATGCAGTACATGAAATGGAAGAATCCCTTAATGCGCTTGTTTTTGCATTGACTCAGCCTATTACTAAGTACTTTTTTTTTTTTTTTTTTAAGTAAAAAGTCTTAAGCAAGGGCTGTGGTACTTTTTCTTATAGCTTCCCTATAATTTTAAAGTTGAATGAGAGATTACAACATTGTTCAGTATTGTAAAACTTGGCTAAATGTGTCTGTCTCAAATTGCCATGCTAATTTACAGAATTAAAGCCTATTGTTGCCAATAAAGAGAGTTGTTATTCTCCTTCATAATTCACTGACGAATCATTTTTTTTGTTCATGATTTGTTTTCGTCTATGGGAGATGTGTATTTTTTTTTTTTGGCTCTTGCTGTGCATTACATCTTGTGTTCATATTCCATGAAGATAAATAAAAAGACACATTACTTCCCTGCAATTTAAAGACGTAAATTTCTGGCAACTGACTGAAAGCAGTTAATGAGATTTCATGCTAGAAGCAAATGGAAGTAATCTTTTCAACTGTTGACAGTTATCTTTTAAAAATCCTAGAAGTCCTGGAAGTCTTACAGGTCTTACCACCAACAAAGAACAACACAAGGAGGCAAAGACCACTTATTCCACGTTCACGCCGAGGAAAGGTTCTGGAACAGAGGTTTACACTTACATCAAGAAAAAGCAGCTTCTGTTCCTTTGGTGGGATTCGTATTTGACAAATATCAAGATTTCTTTGTATGAAAAGGCAATTCTAGCATGGTCTAGAAGAGTTCACCAGAACTTGTTCAAAACTGTTTTATAACTGTCTCAGTCTTTCAGTGTTGATTTTGGGAGAGTGTTTCAGATGAAGTCTCTGCTAGGCCTCGTATTTAATAGCTTCAGTAACGTTTTGGATAATATAATGCATATTACATCTTCGTAATACTGTGGAGGACGCCAAGGTGCGGGATGTTTTGAGTGCTTCGAAGGATGTGGCTAAAATTGATGTTTTGGGGTTTGGGTTTTTTCTTTTTACAGTTTTTAAAACTGTGGGAAATAAAAAATTTAGACAGACTTGTGTGAAAACACAGAGTCTTGCATGATTTCAAAACATCTCAACAGCATTGTTCTACAAAGAAAACATTTAAAAATAGGTTTTTCTCGAACAGAAAGGGATGACTGAGGCAACGCTGCAGCAAGTTTTCATACATTTTTAGAAAAGGGGACAATATCACTTGTTTCTGCCGGCTATCAAAGCATAGGATAAGAGATCAACATTAATTATCAAAAATATATTTGATTAGGTTGGAGAGCATCGAGAGAGACATCTAGACATCTCTGCTTCTGAGCTGAAGAAAAGACCTATATATCAGATATACCTAGAACAGAATAGTCGGAAGTTCTTGCAGGAAGAGAAATGTGGCACTGGTAAATTCTCAGTGTCTGCCTAGCCTTTATTTTTCTTTATTAAGTACAGAAGCAGAAAAAAATTAAATTACAAAAAATGGCAAAACACTAAGGGACTGTAACGTTACTTGCTTATTACAAAATGAACAATGGTTTTTGGAGCCATGGGAAGGAGAAAGGGAAGTTCCCTGTCAATGCAGCCAGTGTCAGGGTTCTGACTGGGGTTCATGCCAACTTCCACTTCTGCCTTAATTGTATTCCTGATGAGTTAAAACTACCTGTGTAGATAAATGAAATACATGTAGCTTTAGCCCTGTATTGATCATAGACATGGTGTATTTTCAAGGTCATGTTTTCCTTGCAGTTTTAGCTATTTGCAAAGTCACCTACTGAAAAAAAAAAAAATCTATTGAATTACAGAAGGAGAACAGAGTAATATTTTAAGAGCGGAGTGGGTGTATGAACTTAGATGAAGCATCTGGTAACAGTTGAGGTAATACAGCTCTCTTAAAAATGGTACAAGGTGGAAAACATTTTCTAGCCTTTATATCTGACGCTTCTCACTTTATAATGTGGAGTTCAGGAAGTTTTATTAGTCTTGTTTTAGTCTGAAGTGTTTTCTAGTATGTTTTATGTTCACCTATGAAACTTCCTTCAGGTTCTTTTGCAATGATGTTTATACGTACTCCACTCCATTTTGAATTATGCTGCATTGATGACTAAAACTTTATGGAGGCTAACTCAGTAGAAGCACTTATTCCAGTGATGTTCCAGTTGCAGAGAAAAAGGAGTAAAGCTCTCCAAGGAATGCAGGTTTGAGGGCTGCTACAGAACAGGAAGCTTTTGTAAAAATGGGTATGATACCGCTCTTGTAGAGGTTTTTTTTGTAAAGATAAGAATGTTGAGTTGCAGTTGCAGATAATCTTTGACTCATAATAAAGTATTTTTTAAAATATATATGCTTTCCTTAAAGTGACAATTTTAAAGCAAGATAAAAGCCTTTTGATTTTTTTTTCAAGAGTAGAAACCTTGCACAGTTGTGGTTAACTGCACTGCAGTTGACCAAAGGGAATGGATACACGAAGCATATGAGAACATAGTTCTAGAATATATTCCATGCAGGTAAGGGGAAAAAACATAGGCTGGGTAACTTTAATATGCAGTTTTCATTGAAAATACTAATTTTGTAGGAAGCCAATGACAGTTTGGTATTGCTTTTATTTAATATTTTCTAAGATTTGCCTGCATCCATTTAGTAGGTACCAAATTAATAAAATGTAAATACCTCATCTCCAACTGCTAAATCTTTAATGCACCATTCCACAGAGGAATTTATTCAACAGCTGTAAATATTTAGGGCAACAAAAATTCTTTATGACATTGAGGACAATATTTCAATTCACTTTACTCATCCATTTAAAGTGTTCACTGTAGGTATGAAAGTTTTCATTAAACTATTCCTCCCCCTTTGAGTACGTGTACCAGCTGTTCAGTGGTTTCTCAGTACTAATTAAGATACTACTTTTATCTTGCTCATAAAAAAACCCAACACTAAAAACCATCTGTTACGCTCTCTGTATTAGATACATTGCATACTCTTCTGTAGTAACTGATTCGTGCCTAGTAATATGGTAGTACTCACTTTTGGGGTGTGGTGTTTTATCGTTAGCTTGTTGGGAGTTTTGTAGCATTCCTAAGACTACATATTTTCATCAGTTCAGTCTGGTTTTTTTTTTTAAAAATCACTACTGTGTTAATATTCTCACAACTTGCTCTTTCACTTCTGTATCAGGGTGATGCAACAAAGATGCCAGTTTCTGAGCGAATGGGGTAGAGTCCCTGCAGAGTGTAAGGAAAACTGAATCTTCATGGTATTGCTCCTGAATCATGGTGCAATCTTCATCGTTCACATTCTTTTTCAAGTTTCCTGCAAACGTCAGGGCTCTAAGCAGAATATCTCTGTTTCTACAGTTGTCAAAAAGTAACAGCAGTGATGGCACCTAGGATATTCAATAAATAAATCCTATTTAATCAACAGCAGTAAGTACACATAACTAAATCAACTTAAAAAAAAATCTGCACCTAAACCAGCTAAAACAGAAACCCTCTGAAATACCAGAACTCTATATGCTGTGAAAGCATGCCAGAACCTTACACAGCATGCACGTTTCCTCTTTAGAAAAGACTGGCTTGTGCATCACAGGCTAATAAGTGATTTGTACTTTCAATCTCGCAAATGTGGCTGGCTGGAACATTCCCATTTGGAAGAGAGGGTCTGCTTTCCTTCTCAGTTAAGTTGCTTTTGCCCTCTGTGGTGATCTGAATGGGTTTTTTTATGTTTGCACATCTGATAAATGAGAAAAGGATACACTTTTAACAGAGAACTGAGTATTTAGGTACCCTAATCTTGTTTTAATAATGAAAAGCCAGTACTATCAAGACTAGTTTTGCTCAGGGTAGACAGCTCAAAAATAAAAGCCACTGCCTGTTTTAAGAAATTGACTTGGGGGAAGCGGGGGGTGGGGAGGATGCAGCACCATTCCAGCCCCTGACTTCTTTTGGTGTGAAGAAAGGCTATTAACTGAAATAAACCTCTACGCCAAGGCCAGAAATAGCAAATGTCAGGTAAAGTTCTCCATGAAGACGTAAGTAAATGCCCAGGGGAAGTTCACTTACAGTGCTTAGAGACAGCGGTTTTATGGCTGCATTTGAGTAAAGGGGTGGGGATTTCAGTGCCATTTGGTCATCAGAGGTGCAGTGTGTTACCTAGAAACAGCTGCTGAGAAGGATCATTTACACTACAGGTTGTATTTGATGTTGGTACCTGGGCTTCAATCTGTGTACTGAGTGCATGTCTGGAAATGAGGTTTGGGGTTTGTTTTTGAAATTTAACAGGGTACTTCATATATAATTACATATAAAAGTTCATGGTACTACCCCTTTGGTGGAGACGGAAGGTGAGAACAGGCTTCTGCAAGTTCTCACTGACTGTTTGGAATGGTACACAGGAAGTATGACTAGTTGTCTCCAACTGCATAGGCCCTGTGACTCTTCCTCTG